AAGGACATCTTATAAAATTTATAGCAATTTCAAAAAATCGCATTAGATTCCAAAAATTTTGCATATTAATTTATAATAAATAAAGAAATATTCTTTCATTCAATTCCAATGTCGTTACTATGAAAAATGACATTATGAAAATAGTTCGTTGGTTGGCTTTGCCGGTGCAGTAGGTCCACCACACACCAATTAGTAAACATGTTCCATTTTGCTACCACCACCCTATCACTATCAGACCATCATTGAGCGTATGATTACAGGTGATTTATCTAAGCCAACCGGTTTCTTTGGAGAATCTATCTAAATTTTCGAAGCCAATCCTCAATATCTCGTCCAGTTCTTACATACTTGCTCAGCCCCACATAATCATCGCAGAGATATCTGTGAAAAATACTATATTATATTATTGAAGTTAAGTATATATTATGTACATAGCTTTTTATGTATTAATTAACAAGAGAGAAAATTACAAGAAATTAACTGAAAAATTTCCTAAATGAGAAATTATAATTCGATCTCATTATAAAAATATACTTCCTAAATTACTTATTTTATACATAAAAGAATAAGTATTTATCCTATATCCAAGATCATTTATTCAGGTGTACTATGTGTAGATTTTTAATAACAGCTCAAAATATTTCTTTCCGTAACAATATGATCCCCAGCATAAAATATTAATAGTAGATTTCGTATAAATTCAGATCTCTATTTAAATTAATCTTAACAATAAAACGATTAACTTTTTGATCTTATACAAATAAATGTTAGCTGTAAGAGAACTATTAATAAACTAATTTTAACAACAAAACTCATTTACAACTCATTTTTTTTTGTTTTTTGATTTTTACTAAATAAAATTAACAAAAAAAGCAAAAAAAAAAAGTGAATTCTTCCAATAGAAAAACTAAAATATTTTTTAACTCGCATACCAATCATAAACAAACTTTTTACATATTTCTTATATTATGCCTGCATACACACATATATAAAATTTTATAAACATACACACACGCATACGTTTAATATATTCATAATCATATCGCCTATTAATAAAATAAAATTTAAAGAATACATAAAGCAAAAAAAAAACTATTGGAATGATTACCTTAAGCCCGGCATAAATATCTGTAGATGTAAGTTTTTAAGTACATATGTGTGTATAGATGTATACATCATATGTACATATGTATATATATATATATATATATATACATCATGTGTATTTTACAGATATATTAATGGTGTATATTTTAAAATTCAATCCACAGTAATATCAGATCGTCGCGTCTTGCTCCTCAGACTCAAAAATTCCAGAGCTCCTAAAAGTTATCGATTTGTTGAAGAAAATACATACATACATACATTAAAAAAAGAATAAAAAGGAAATAAAAAAAAGTGCTATTGCTATGCCGCTCTGCTTGCTATTTTACTTGCTTTGCTGGGCTGCTGCTGCTGTACATTTAGTATTTTTTTTTTTGTAACTTTTATTAAATTTTTCTTGTTTTCTTCGTCTTACCTGTTGGAAACCTGTAATACCAGAAAACCTGAAATATTTTTTTTTTGTTTTTTGTTTCAGTTGTACGTATGTGACTTTGTATATTTCTTTTTCTCGTATACTCTCTTATATGCTCTTCATTTAAATTTCTCGTCTCTTTTCAGTTGTATATATGTATGTGCATAAAGTACTCAAAGCAAATACAAAAACATTTATAAAAAAATTTTTATAATTAAATGTTCTCTTTAAGTATTTGTTAATAAATTTTACCTGTATACATATCATGTATATTAAATTTTATATACATACTATGTGTATATGTATGTATATAAGTGATAATAGAAATTTATAATATAAAATTGTTAAATACAATGTACACAGTAATACCATAATAGTAATAATATATTTATGATTATAACACATGTGCGTATGTATGTTCAATAGTAGCATAATATCTAATATACTTTTTATATTATTACGTTTATATAGTTTTGAATACAAAATGGTATACACAGTAGTAATATTGAAATAATTTTCATACAACAATTTGATTATGATCTTGTTATACATTCATATACACATATGAAAATATAACAAAAACATAATATATATCTACATATTTACATAAAGGTATATAGATATGAGTAAGTGCCTCAGATTTCACATATTATTAATGAGTTTCAAATATTAAATATATATACTATAGGTATTTATTAAAACATATATTGATATATGTAGCGTTATTATATTAAATTAATGATTATAATATAAGTAATTAAGTGTATGACAAAATAATATTAAAGGGCCTTCTATACAAATCAAAATCTTTCAATTAATTCTACATTTTTTACAAAAGTTATATGCAATTGAATATTATTTGCATATAGACGAGCATATATTTTAAATTAATTTAGTACTTAAAATAAATTTCAGAATTTTATAAAAAATATATGGTTTTTCTCTTAAAAAGCATACATGTATACATATGTGTATAACAAACAAAATTAAAAAGAACAGTGCTCATTGAATTCACTCTGTTCGTCAGTTCATTTATGATCTCAATTGTGTTTATTTTTTTAGTAGAAAGTGCTCAAAAATCTCTTATGCTTTTCCTTAAATTATTATACGAGTATCTTCACAATACTAAAATGAAGATGGGTCTAAAATTTTAAATATTTCAATAGGTTCTCTCGTTCTATTTCGAAATTTTAAAATTCTTTTTTTTTTTAAACTAAATTTTTTCTAAATTTTAAACAAATTTTTTGTAATTGTTAAATACAAAACTTTTTTCAAATTTATTTATTTAATAGTCCTAGGAGGATCTTAAACTCGAAAAGCTAGGTGTCATTTATTAATACAAATGCTTTAACTCCTAAATATATGCAACAAAATCTAGTTTTAAATTATTTCAAGAGAACTTTCTTATTTTTTATTTTGGTTGCTAAAGTCCATGAGATTGTAATTTTTGGTCCAAGTTTTTGAAGACGTGAAATATTGTATAAGAATTTAAAAACCTATTTTTAATTTAATACTAATTTGGAATTTTAATATTTGTTAATATCACATTATCATTAACCTAGTTTAACTAGGTTTTTAAAATTATGCAAAATTTTGGTTGAAATTTTGGTTGATTTGATTTTAATTCTACACTTTAATAGGTTCTACATGTTAAATCTGGATTAAAGATGGAAGCCTAAAATAATACTCTTTTTTTATATTCCGTAAAATATGTTAAGACTCTAATGAGAAATCAGTCCATTCCCAATTTTATTCACTTACACACATCTAATGGAATCTTTCAATATTTTGTATTTATTTAAATTTCATATTTCATTTTAAAATCTTTGGATCATTTTGATTTTCATATGAAATAATTTCAACTGTAAAAATTTAAAATCAAATTTAATAAAAATAATATTTCACATTTTATTGACATCAATATAAAATTATTAATATTCCAATCAATAAACAGTTGAAGAACAAGCACTATAAAAAAAAATATCAAACAAGTAGCTCTAGTAATGTTGCTTGTGAAGACTATCAAAAAATGTTTGAATATTTTTACAGATTGGATATCATGATTAAAATATACATAAGTGTAACATGACCTTAAATTTATTTTGGAATTTTTTTTTTTAACATAAATATTTCGTTTTGAAATTCTTTAAGTATTTATTTCTATCTTTTTTTTTTCTGTTTAGTTTATGATTATATTTATAGTTTTCTTTTCAAGTCAATCGCATTAACATACTTCAATATAGTTACATACACGTTTAAAAGAAATTTACCAACACATAGGCAGACTGAAACATATCAAAAAAAATAAAATTATCTCGTGGTGCTTATAATAAATTGTGAAGTGGTTTTATTTTTGCTAAGTTTCCATAATTCAAGTAATGTAGAGTTTTAAATAAAACTAAATGAGTTGAAGAGGGTATGGTTGAATTATTTGTTCAGTACTGAAAAATTTTTAAAAAAATTTTTAAATTAATTGGATTTTAATGAGTTTTCGACTCGATGATTGACAAGAGCCTAGCACTTGGTATAGCGTAAAAAACTAGGAACATAGGGAATTCTTGAATATTAAAATTTCCAAGTAAAAATTGTTTTTATTCCCAAAATGTTTTTTAAAAATTTTCTCTAAATTTCTTTTTTCTATACATTGTCGAAATTCCAAAAATAAAATTTTTTCGATGGTATTTTTTTTAATTTTAGCGAAAAATTCATGTAAGAGATTCAAAATCTCAGTTGCCTTGTCCATATAATTGGTTCTTCTCTCTTAGTTTATTACAAAAATATTTTTTTTTCTAAAACGACTTTGTTTCCTCCATTCCTTTCATATCGCATTTTTATTTCATTTTCGACTCCACTTCAAATTAAATTTAGAAAGTAGAGTTAAAAAAAAAAAACGCAAACTTGTGATCTCAAATAAAAATATTTTTTTTTATCTTTTATTTTTATTACAGAAATATTTTTTTTTTTTTTCAAAAGTATTGGAATTTTTCTGGGTGCTTTTTTTTTTTTACCTTTTGTTGTTTCTCTATATACTATACATTGGCTTTATGTTTGAGCTCAACTTTAAAATTAAAAATTTTTTTAAAACATTCTTATGTATTTTCAAACCTGTAGCTATAAATATTATATTGTTAAATATATAAAGATAAACACATACTTGCATGTATAATATAAAACTACAATTGTATTTATATGAAATGTAAAGAATTTCAAAAAGAGAACAGTTGCCTGTTCAAAGAGAGGATATGTTGTGTATAATGAAAAAAAAAAAAAATTGTGCAATACAGAAAAATTGAGAATAAAAGATCGAAAATTAAAGAGAGTAAAAATAAAAATTGATCAATTTTTTTGAGAAATCAAAGTAAAATGTAGAGAAGCAGAAGAGTCGAGCGAGGAAAAATAAAAAATTCGAAGCTTGTTTTTACTCTAAACATGATTTTGAAAAATAATTTTGTATTTTTAGTTGAGTTTTCGGTGCTGATGATTTCGGACCGTTGTATATCTGAAATAGTTAAAAAAAAATATTTAATTTTTTTTTTTCATTTTTAAATATTTCAAGATTTTGAACGCGCGTTTCTATGTCAATATTTTTATTTTTTATTATTGTGATTTTTTTTTAAAATTCCTTTAATATACATATATATATATTGTACATGGATAATTTTTTTTTTATTTGAATAACGCGCGCAAAAACTAAGTTTTTTTCGTTCGATGTTTGATTTTTTTCTTCGAACCTTTTGGATGTTTTTAACAAGTTTCTTATATTTGTAATATTACTTTTTTTTTTTGGATTTTTTGTTTGCTTGATTTCTATGTGTATAAAAAAAAGTTAACCGTGATACTGGAATTACACGATCCAGAAAGGAACAGGGAACCAGAAACGACGACAAAATAATAACGATGCATTGAAATATTCATAAATACATGCAAAAAAAAATTAAATTAAATTACTATAATATTTCCAATAATATAAAGTTAGTATTAAATATTAAAAAAATATTGTATATTTTTTAAAATGAGGATGCAATGTGCTCAATACACACACACACACACATAAAATATTTTATTTAATTAATTTTCAATTTTGTTGAGAAAGAAAATTCAATTGAATTTTAAAGTAAAAATTTAATTAAGAAAACGTGGATTACTTTTACACACATACAATATGAAAAAAATTAAAAAAAATTTTATGTAAAAACAAATGTGTCTGATTTCAAGTTAGTAAAGTTTTTTTTTTTTTTTATTGCATAGATACAACTAAAATATAAAATGTGAAATAACACGATATTTACTTACTTTTTTTTTATTTCATGAAATTTCAATCCAAATTTGGTATTTAATTTCATATTGGAAAGAAAAAGTAAAAAAAAAACAAAGTAATGTTATAGCAGAAATATTTAAAAAGAAAACAAAAACAACAAAACAAAAATTAAAGAAAAAGAAAACAAGCAAAGAACGAGAAATAAAAAAAAATAACTTGAAAAATTTCTCAAATATCTACCGAACGCACATTTTTATGCGAAAATTAAAATTATGGCGATTTTATACTAAACTTGATTTAAAAAAAAAATTAACAATAAAATAAGCAACAAATACAAAATTTTTTTTTCTTTATAAAAAAAAAGTTGAACTTAAAAAAATGAAAGAGAAATAAAAATTTTTATACAAGGAAAATATTTTTTTTTTTTTGTTATTATATTATGAGAAAGTTATAAATGTTGTAAATTAAATAAAAGGAAAATAACAAAAATATTTCATTAATGAATCATTTAAAAGTCAACATACCAAACAACATAAATATTTTATTATAAAACTACAAAATACGTACATACAAAAAAAAATGTTAAAAATTGCGTGAATTTTCAGATTTTATTTACATTGGAAATTTTTAAATGAGTAATTTTATAATTTTAAATAATATATGATTATTTTATATTGAACTATATCAAATCAAATAATAATATTGCAACTTCATACATGCATAGAATGATGAACGCTACCGTATCGCAAAATGACAAAAATAATATTGTCTGCTTCGTGATATGTTCGTGTCTGCAAACGTTTTATATTAAGTCAGTCATGGAGTGATTTTGCAATATTTTTCACTTTATTTTAAATTCTTGAAGCAATATTGATCAGTAATTTTAGAAAATCAACTTTTATAAAAATAATATCTTCCATCGGGGTCTCATGATTTCGGCTTCGGAGCAATGGGAACTATTAATTATGAACTACATATTATCTAGATACATTTTCCAAATAAATTTTTTTAACTCTATAGCTGCTATTTTGACAAAAACATTTAACATATTGAATATTACCATAAAATTGTAAACGCGGTAATTCGATATTCTTTAAATAGTAAGTATATTCTATAAAAAAAACCTAATTGAATATATGGCCTTCATATACCAATGAATACACAAATATAATCGAAAAGGAAGATAAAATTTTGGGTTATTTCCTCTGTATCCTCTGTGTTATCTTGAATTATAAGTGTACATTTTGTAAAACTTTTAATTGTATTTCCCTGATTTAATTGTTATAATTTTAGGCGCTAAATAACTTAATTCTTGTAACTTGTGTAACTTAATTCTAAATGATATACAAAATTTATTAGAAAATAGCCTCAGTGATGAAAACAAATAGGAAAACTAATTAACTAAAAAAAAATTACTGATTTAACAGAAACTGTTATAGAATACAATACTAGTGCATTTGCTCCGCAAAATATGCAATTTTTAATCACATATTGTAAAATATGCAATATTAAAAATGCACTCTAACCAAAAACATACGTACAATTCCGTTGATTTATATTTCATTAATAATAAAATTTTGCAATATCTTTAAGGCATGTTGAGGTCACCAATGCCCTATTTATTATTCTTTGTACACATACTTATTTTTTTTATCATTTAAATATTTCATACTAAATATTTTACGACAACACATAATTACGTGATGATAACAATATTTTATTTAAAAAGTAATTTTTTTTTTTTGAACAAATATAAAAATATTTTTTATTTATTTATCGTATTTTTTTTTAAATACACTTGAAATAAGGGTTAGTCAAGGCTTTCATAAAATTCAAAAAAAAAAAAAATACCATTTACGTATACACATAACGCAACAGTAAAGAAAAAATATGTAAATTTTTTTTTATTGTATAATAATCGTTTCTTTTCATTTGTTATTGATATTTTCTTGTTTTTTTTTTTGAAATTTTTAAATATTTTTATTTAAACGATAACTTTGTCAATAACCTTTATTAAGTTCAATAATTATATAATTATTATAATGTTGTATTTTTAAACAATTTTTTTTTATTTATCATATAATTATTATTGAAAAAATGTTTTAAACAAGAAATCTGAATCATTAACCGGAAAATCATTAAAATATTTATTAGATATATCTACCTACTCGCACATAAGCTATGTTTGTATACATATAACACTTTAAGTATAATTATATATACATATACTTATATAGTATACATACGAGTTAAGGTCGCATTGTTATCGACCACATCGACACGAAAATAATAATAATTTGACCGTCAGATTATTAGTTTTAAACTTAATTTGATTTTAATTTAACAATTTATAAATCGCTTTGGAATGTTGTGATTAAAATTAAAAACAAAAAAAAAAAATGTTGAAATATACAATATAAATGCAAAGTACTAAAAATATTTTTTTAAGTGGTATATAAAGAAGTTATTGAAAATAAGTATATAATTTTTTTTTTAAATGAAGATTAACGTATATCAATCAGGTTAATCAATACAGGTTAATTAATTTAAATTGAAGTATATTGATAAAAATGAAAAATTAATAATAATATTAATTTAATGAATTCGAACTCTCTTTGAATATTTCCAAAAATGGAATAATTTTCCCTAATTTGTAATTGAAATTTTTAGTATTCAAAACCATTCTATAATTACGAATGTCGTAAAATGAAATGTCTGTAAATATTTGACTAAAAATTTTTAAAAGTATTTAAAATAAATAAAATTTTGCATAAGAAAACTAAAAATTATCGTAACTATAATAAACTATACAATAAGATCTAAATTATTGGCCTTTTCGGTACAAGACTCGTCTTTAATTTCTGTTTTGTTATTATGCTTATTAGTTAAATTATAACCGCTCTAAAATTATACAAACATAATAATATGTGGCTCTGGCCCCGACCGTTATTTGCAATTATTGCAGTAAATATAGTATATAATACAATGGACAATTATATTGAATTAATATAAAATATTTATGTTGTAATTATAGCAAGGACTAACCATTTTAATAATATTTAATTAATAACGAACGAAATGTACAATCTTAATACAAAAATTTCTTAAATTTTTATAATTTTGTATCAAAATATTTTGATGATAACAGACAAAAACAAAAAAAACAAAAGTGAAATTTTTATAACAAAAAATTTTTTAATAGAAAGTCAAACCAAAAAAAAAACAAACAAAATTTGTAATGCAATTTTATATTTTTAATAAAATAACCAACTGTAAATTGTATAATAAGACAAGAAAAAAGGAAACATGAGAATATTGTAATTAGTTGGTTCAAGTATAAAATTAAAACAAAAATAATAATAATAATAAAAACTGTTATACCTACCTATTTATATAAACATATTAATAGTAATAATTACAAACAAGTAGCTAAAGCTGCTCTAATGCACATAAAAATTTTAATGTTGCAAAAAGCAAAACAAAACTACACCAATTCAAAAATACAAAACATGAGATCATAAAAAAATTTTTTATATAACAAGCAAAAAAAAAAACTCTTTTAAAAACAAAAACGTGATAATATTTCAATTCAGAAACAAATGACATAAAAAATAAGAAAAAACATACATACTCATTTTATGTAATAATTGAAAATAATAAACCTTAAATAATTTACAATTACATATTATCATTATTATAATAATTTATAACTATTATTGTCATTATTATTATTTTTTGTTATTGTTATTCTTATAAATACTCAAGTTTAGTGATGCGAATAACTTAATTTTTTGCTTTTTGTACTTATGTTCTCTTAAACTGTTTTCTTTTTGTTTTGTTGTTTTTTCTTACCTTGATTTTATCTCTGATGTCTAGAGCGCATTTTATTGTTTATTAAAATAAAAAAAAATGTATGTACATTTTACCTATTATAAAATAAGACTAGCATAGCATGTACACTAGCATACAAACATTAATAAAATAATTTTATTTTATGGAAAAAGTCAAAGTGATGTACGGTGGTGAGTTTGATTCTCTTTTGTTTTGTTTTAATTTTATTTTAAATAACATTCTCTTTTCCTTAAATAAAAATTTTAAAATACACTCTAAGTAAATTAATAAAACAAAAACAAAAAGAAAAGACAAAAGAGAAGAAAATATTTTTAAATATTTCACAAAAAAAAAAAAATATAATAAAAGAGAAAGAGAGTAAAGAGTAAAGAAATAATATACAGAGGTAAAAATAATAAAAAAAAAATGAAAACAAAAGAGAAAAACACAGAAAATAAAATTTGACCATGTAAGTGCAATGCAACAACAAAAGTAACATTGTTTTTAAAACACACAAAACGAAAACAAAAAATAATAATAAGAATAATAAAAAAAAAATTAAAATAAAATAAAACAAAAAAAAATTTTTTTTTATGAAAATCACGTAAATGCATTGTGGTGCACTTGTATTCCAAATAAAAAAAAAAACAAAAAAAAAAGAAAAAATATTTATGTGTGTGTGTTTGTGTGTGTGTAAATGCATTTAAAATTTATAGTATTTTTTTTATGCTTATATACTTTTGTATCAAATTTCAGAGATCATCATTTACTATATTCATACATACGTGCATATGTTAAAAATATATACTGATGTTAAAATATACACAATATTATAAAAATTAAACAAAAAAAAGTTACAAAAAAGTTTTAAGTGTGATTTTTAATATTTCAAATAAGAAAAAAGGAAAATTTTATTAAAAAAAAAATTAAAATTATTGAATGATTGAATAATGTTTATATGAAAATTATACACAAGTATATATACAGACGTTTCTACACTAAATAACAAACACAATCAAAAGTATATTAAAAAAAAAAATTTAAGTAATTTATACACGTATACTTATAAACGAATTTATATACAATAAAAAGTTATTTCGGCGTTTTCATAAAAAAAAAAGATATAAAAAATAACCACGAAAATAAAAAAATATAAAAACAAACGATAAAAACAAAAAATTTCTCAAGTTTGAACTCACTGGAATGCGCGCAACATAATTTTCTTCTTTTTATTTTTTTTTATTTGTTTGTTTGTGTTTTTTTTTTTGTTTACCTTTATACAATACAATTAATAAATTTTAATAAAATTAATGAAAATAAAAGAGAGAAAGAAAATAAAATAAACTTATTTTAAAATATTATAAATTTTAAATACATTTACGAAATATTGAAAAGAAAAGAATTAATTATTTTAAATTAAAAAAAAAAAAAAATACACTTGAATTCTTACTTACAATAAAATTAAAAAATCATAATAAAAATTATAAAATTTAATTAATGTTTAAAAAATGTTGAAAATATTTAGAAAATAAATATTTAAATAAAAAAATAGAATAAAAAATTTAAATAAACAATTTTAATATATAGTTTTCTATATTTGATGAAAATACACGATAAATAAAAATTATTTCAAGGGCATTGTTTAAAAAAAAAAATAAAATAATAAAATAAAACAGAAATTAAATAAATAAATAATTAAAAAATAATTAAAATAAATAAAAATTTTAGAAAGACGAAACAAAAGTGTCAATTAAAAATAATTTTAAAAAGTTCGAAAAGAAAAATAAGACAAAACCAAAAAAAAAAATTTTTTACCGCCTGCCTTCACACGTTTTAGTTTTTTTTTTTATTCCACTGTAATTTTTTTTTTTTGGTTGAATAATTTTACACAATAATTATGGATACAAATTTGGATATAATTAGCTAATAAATAAAACTGCGAAAAGGTAAGTTAAAAATTTTATTAAATTATTTTTATTTTTACTTTATAATGGTTTTTAACTTTATTTATTAAAATATTTTAGTAAATATTTAAAAAAAAAGATGTTGAAAGAGACTATAACGTACTTGAATTATGATAAACAAAAATATTAGAAAGTTTGTTTTGATTAATTGGTATATTTTTCTCCAATTTTGTATAAAACTTTTCTTAAAATTTTCTTCAAGATTTCACTTTAAGACCAAGACCTAAGTTTCAAAAAATGAATACTTTTATAAAAATTGACACATACTTTTGGATGAGAGGACGATTGTATTCGTAACGATCTTGTTTTTCCATAGAGAGCAGAAAAATTAAATTTTGCATACTTTTAGGAGTTTATAGGTACATGCAAACCAATTTTACTCTAAACAAATTCATTTTTATGTATATATTTTTAAAATTTGACATTCATGTTTGAAAAAAATTATTTCAAAAATTAGTGGAACACCGGTTTACGATAATGGTTAATTTGAGGAGTTAAATTTACCTTTTGTTTTGTAATTTTTTTTTTACATAAAATGAATAATTCCTAAAGTTTCTGCATTTACCAAATTACATTTTTATGACTTTGAGAAATACTTATGTAAATAAATAGATTTTACGTTCTAGAGAATAAATTTTTCACTAGAATTTACAAATTGGAAGATTTGAAATGAAAATTTTGTAAAACAGGCGAGCACAGTCAATGTGAATTTATTTTCTTTGGCTGTGCTCATCTTTAATTTATCAAAGTACTTTTTTTCCAAAAATTTTTGTAAATTATGCAAGGAAGAGTTTCTACTTAAAAATGATAATCTTTATTAACCATTATTGTCATAATAACCAATATAAATAGTAAACAATTTGATGCACAATAATTAAGATAGAGAAATTAATGCTTAAGATTTTTCAATAACCTTAAGCGAAGATATTATTTATCTAAGTATGGTAAACATACAAAAGCTTAAATATTAAGTAACCTTTTTATTTTATTTCTTCTAATCAACTCCACAATAAATTTTATAGTTACATTTTGCTTGAAATCATCAATTCCAACACTGTAATTGTTCTAGAATAAAATTGAATGGTTTTTAATGATTAATTTAAAAACTCAGTTACTATTGCTTATACACTTTACAAAACTAAATATTGTAAAAGAATTAACGTGGGCAAAATGAATAAAAATGTTATAAGTGGTAAAATAAAGAATTTCCAACAACAAAATAACATTTTTCTTATAAATTATTCAATTCAAATACATAAAATATATTCAATGAGAAAAAAAAAATATATAGTTGTACTTATTGAAATTTAAAATTTGTAATTAATTGGAAAACATTTTTATTTTATTTACTGTGATTCTAATAATAGCCATTACTTCATCATTAATTCAGTTTACAAAAATTATGCAAAAGAATTTCAAGTATTAAAGTAGTATGTATGTATTGAGGGATAATTCTTATTTTATTTACTCATTTTATTTTATTTTTTTCTTATTTAATCTAAAAACTGCTTTGCTGTTGCGACACACCTCCATTTCACATGATGAATAATTATTGAGTTTGACATATTATCGCTATTTATACATACATAATTCATTAAAACAACATTATACAATATGCCTTAAGTATTATTCATTTTTTATATTATATTTTTTTAATTGATTGTATAGTCGCAAAATAATATTTTAACTTGAATTTACATTTATTTTATTTTCTAATTTGTATTTAAAACGCATTCTTTAGATATCGTATACTTATATAGAATAGAATTTATTAATTTTAATTTATGTTATCTTGAAAATGAGTACCAGTTTTAAAATTATTATAAGAAATGAAAATGAATATAACAATTTCAATATTTCATAAATTTGACAAAAAAAAAATTTGAGTAATGAAAATCTCTAATTTAAGCCTATAACTGCTTTTGTATTTCTATATATGAGCGTAATCATTAAATTTTAATTCTCTTTTGATTACATTTTAAATCCATAACTTGATTACTTTTATATTACTTATTTACACTAAGTGTGTACAATATATACAAATATATATATATATATATTATATAAAGCTAATGAAAACAGGTTAGATTTTTCCTGTTTAATAAGCTAATATTATAGTACTTATATATTTAACTACATTTATACTTTATAATCAAATGTTTGACATTAAATCTCATTAAAAATTCCAGCATAATTTGCAAAATATGTAGATTGTTAATGAACGCTGTTACCAATTTCAAATTTTCTTTCATTTTTACTTTTTTTATTTTTATTATTACTGTTGGGTTTTTCAATTCTGAATTTATAAATAATTTCGTTCACATTTTTAGAAAATCAAAAAAAAATTCCAATTTCAAGATTTTATACGATGTCTTGTATATTATAGTTGTAAGTATGATTCTAAATTGCAAATGTTGAAGAACAAGTATAATAGAAGAATAAAAAACTTTGATTAAACTATAAACGTAAGTATTTGGTTAGAAGAAGTGGGAGAGAGAAAGAGAAAGGGAGATAGAAAAAATGGTACATATACTATGTAAAATATTTTTTTTTTGTTTTTACCCCGTCATACATATTATTAGCATAAAATGAAATTCTTTATGAAGCGCGCCAAGCCTTAAAAGACTTAACCATAAAATTATTTAAATTATAATGTGAATAATTTATTTTATTAACTAAGTATGGTTAAAAAATATAATAAAAAAATGTAATAAAATTAATAATATTGTTATTTTTTAGACTTATTTCTATACAAGTAACTTTATATATACTTAAATGAAATTATTATACTTAACACTAATATTTTTTAGAATATAGAAATTTTTAGAATATCTGAGTATAATATACAAAGAAAATATTATAATTTTATGATCTTACCGATTATTTCGATGGTCACACCAATTTTGATAAAATTATCTTTGAATGGGTAAAATTATATAAAAAAACTTCTCCATATACAAATTTAATGTTACATTGCTCTCTTTTTTATTTTTTACACTTAATTTAATTAATTTTCGGTTGCTTATTATTAAATTTAATATGAATATGAAAACAGAATCTTTCAATCATGTTCGTTCATTGATATTCGAACATGTTTGATTATTAATAAAAATTAATGGCCATAAACACCGCAATGAAGAAAAATTTAAGATAATAACAATTTATAAAATTTTTTAAAAGCTTACCAGGAAACGTCTTCGTTTTATGATTAAGTAACCCTTCGCTTCCTAGAATAATAACAGTTAAACCATTCTTAAACTTTTATCATATAATTGATCAGTTTTATGCGAAAATAATGTTAATAGTGCTATTAATAAATAATTTTTAAAATCATTTTGATAATCTTATATTTGTAAAATTGTATAACTATAAGTAAATTTTATTTCTTAGTGTTATTTTTGACCACAGTTATTTTAAAAAGTAATCAAAAATAAGTCTTCTAAGTCACTTGTAGTTTAAATTTATAACCCGTAGAAAATAAAAAATGGTGTAGTAATTTCAAATTCTATATAAGCTACACAACATAGAAGTTAATAAAAATACAGTTCATATATTAATGGCATCTATTAGAACATAGAATAAATTGCCTCCATAACTGAAATTGTACCCAAGGCAATTAAATTTTGTTAAGTTAATAAAATAAACAACTCATTCAATATCTGCAAAAATATTATTAAATTTTGATTTTATGATTAAATGTATATACATAAATGAGTCACAATTTAATTAAATTGAATTTTTCGATATTTTAATGCGTTACACATTATAATAAAGGAATGTGATTGAATATAAGGAATTTCCACATAAGCAGTATAGGTTTTTGTTAATTTCAAGATTAAAATATTAAGAACAAAAAAAAAATATAATTAAAAACAAAATTCTATTGTTTTATATATTATCGAAATTTCAAATTGATAACAAATATTTTTTATTGTTTCCAATCAATTGTGACTACTATACGACAACGATTCATGGCACAAATATTTGACACATTCGATAATCAGTAGTTAAATTGTTTTGCATTTCGTTATTCTCTATTGTAAATATAATTAATTTTAGTAAAATATTTTATCAAAAAAAACAAATTAATTCAATTATAAATAAGTATTAAGTAAAATATTTTATGACAAAAAATAAGTTATATCGTAATTAAAAAATTCAAAATTCTGGAACAATTAAGTAACTAAAAAAAAAGTAGTCAGGAAAATAGCGAAAATTGGCTTTTGAATAATTGAAGGTTTTTTTAGTCTGACTGCTTGTATGTTCATTGCAAAAATTCGAAATGAAACTGTGAAATTTTTTGCTTGGGAAAATGTTGTTCTATTTATATTTACCTCTCTCTCCTTTTCCTCAAACCATAATCTCAATATTTCGGGATTCGATAAAAGTTTTAGGACACAACTTCTATCTGAAAAAAAGACCATTTAGGTCAATTGTGGTATCGACGGATCTCTCCTCTTCCCTTTCCTTAGAACCAGCCGGAATTCCTCAGAAACTGGCCAGGGTTCGTAACATTTGCATTCACTAAGTTCGTAACCCGCTGACAAAAGTAAGGTACAAGAAACCAAGGTTGTTTAGTCACAATGTTCAGTATTTAAATGATATTTTGTTTCTAATTTTAAGATAAATTTCCGCGAACTGTAAAATTTTACAATAATTTCACTTAATAGCTTTATGGTTGTATATTGATAAACATTACTAAATAAGAGAAGCTATAAATATAAAAATGTATATAAAGTGCTAATTTTTCAATTCTCAATTAAACTATAAAATAAATATTTTAGTTTTAAATCTGATTAAAACTAAAGATTTCATCATTGAAATTCATTTAAAATAATCTTAAATAAAGATTTAATAGAGATACGATGAAAACATTGTAAGCAACTAAAAGAGCAATTACAAGTATTACAATGTACTCACTCGGTCGGTACCACTAATTTATATTCCATATTTTATTACTTTTCTTCATATATTTTATACTT